GTGGTGGGCACAGCACAAATAACCCATTATGTAGCTTTGCTCTACAACAAAAAACAAATTTCATCTCATCTTCATATCAAAAATAAACATTTTAGTGAGTAAACTGAAAATTAAATTCAGCATTTCATAAATATGGAAGTTTCTTTTTATCATGTAGTTCATTTCGTTAGTTTTATAATATTTATATTTTTTTCGAATACATTTTTTTTATTTCATTCACTGATGTTATGACTTGAAAGTAAAACAAAATTAACTGTTAAGATAATTGTGCATGAATCATGACCAGTAAATTGTGTATAGTTTTGTTACTGTGTAACACAACAAGAGGATGCTTTAAAAATTAGATTTACACTTTTAGAAACTCACACTTTTAGCAATGAAAGTAGGTAGTTGTCACATAACCTAAGAAAGTGACAACTGTATAGCGTTATAAACATATTATAACATAATAATTAAGTAAGTTAGGTTTGTACTTTCCACTTTAAAAAGGGGGTATGGGAGGTAACTTACGACATTCTCAAAAGTGGGGAAAATATCGAACTAAAAATAGTTTGCACCATTAATCTATTTATTCCAAAGCTCGTGCATTATTCGTCTATTTCTTCTGGATACAAAAATAGCTTCTTATCAGTATAGACACAGTATTTTCACTATTTAAGTCAAGAGATTTTAACTATCATGCTTAATTTACATCAGGGTCTCGGATGCTTTATGAAATATAGTTTACAGAGTTAATTTTTGGTGGGGGATTATTTCTGCAATATGGTCAACACAAATATTTTTTACAGCATTCTTTCGGGAATATGGAATACGGAGAGCTTTTTTCTTTGTGAAGAAGATTTACATTTGTTAGTTAAGAAATTCTGTGACGATCTTAAGTCACATTCCTTCTGGGATATAATCTATAGTGAGTTTTTGTCGCATTCTATCTGGAATATGCCCAATGTAAAGTTTAGTCGAACTATTTCATTAATATAATCTACATAAATAAGTTTTGTCGTATTCGTTCTTAGATGTGGCCTATAGTGAGTTTTTGTCTCATTCTATCTGGAATATGGTCTACAGAAAGTTTTTGTTGCATATTTTTGTAAAATTGTCTATATTGTGTTTTTGTTGCGAATTATTTGTGAAAAATATTCTACAGAAAGCTTTTATTGCATTCTTTTTATGAATATTGACTTCATAGGGTTTTGTTGCATATTCTGGAATAAGATGTACAATGATTTAGATTTTGTAACATTATTTCAGGAATATGGTCTAAAGAGGGTTTTGTTGCATATTCTGGAATAAGATGTACAATGATGTAGTTTTTGTCACATTGTTTCAGGAATATGGTCTAAAGAGGGTTTTGTTGCATATTTTGGAATAACATGTATAATGATGTAGTTTTTGTCACATTATTTCAGGAATATGGTCTAAAGAGTGTGTTTTTTTCATATTCTGTTTAGAGTTAGATTTGCAGTGAGCTTTTATCGCTTTCTTTGTGGAATATGT